TGATTGACAGGAGGAATGGAGGAGGCTTGCTTTCTAGAGGACTTGTGAGTTTAAGTAAGTAGTTAAGGTAAGTTCCGTTCAGACCGAGGAACCGTAGTCTGCCATGATTAAAGGACTCAGGTACTCACTGAAAGTTGGCGGCAGTTTCAGCTCTCCAGCCGCTCCAGGGGAGAAAGATGTGGCTCTCTGCTCTGGAAAAGATGGCAGCCTTGGGAACCTTATAAAAGACTCCTCAAACCAGATGTGACCCTACAGGACAGGGTAGAACAGCCCCTGTAGGTTTCTGAGGCTGTAACTTGATGGCAGTAGAAACTCATCTTTCTGCTGTGGACCAGCTGGTGGTCCTGAACTGTTGCCCTTGCAGCTGGCAGCCCAACACATAACCACTGTACCACCAGGGCTCTCGAGACCATATGGGTAGTTCTAGCTACTCCTCAGCCCTCTAGGGTCGCTCTGAGTTAGAACCTACTTTACTGCAACAAATAGGGCTTTTATCTTTCAATTGCTCAGATACATGGAGATAATTGATCTATCAATACCAAGTCTTTGCAGGAAACTGCAGAGAGTATAGATCCTCTTGTAATAAATTTATTAGTCAAACATTTTCTTACAGTATTAGGTGGAATAATCAACATACTCTGTCAAGTTTACAGCGAACTCAATATAATTTCAACAGTAGGGATTTTCTCAGTTAGGCTGATTCTAAATCTTACATAGAAAAACAAACATGAACCGCCTGAAAAATAAAAATAATGGGAGGGTGGGGGTTCCTATCAAATAACCCTATTGAAAGTGTATTCGGGCACCTGAGTAGCCAAGCACGTCAGTGGGACGGGAGGAAATTTAAATACAGCAGACGTTCAAAGAATGTCGCTGTGGAGCAGCCCTGCACCTGTGTAGACGCTCAGGAAGTACTGACGAGCACTAGACATGACCAGGCCTCCCCTCCACCTGGAATTGGAGCCACAGTAGGGAACGACGCCGACCTAGTCCCTGCCTCAGACGTGAGCGAGAGCTTCCCTAGGATCACTCTAGAAGGAAAGGCGGTCATATTGTTGGCAGGGTCCAGAAGAGCGGGAACTTTTCTTGGGATCTCATTGTACAGGGCTTGAATAAATGGATGCGAGAGCATTGTAAGTACAGAGTTGTTCTTCTCTCATTCTCTCTAACAGAGTTTTGAAGGGAATCTTGCTCCAGAAGAATGCTTTTCCCCTTTGGATCTTTTTAACAAAATCCAAGAACAAAATGAAGAACTTGGACTGATTATTGACTTAACATACACGCAGCGTTATTATAACCCAGAGGTAACTGGAATCCTTAATTGAAAGAGGTGGAAGGGTCACTTCTTGAAAGAGTGAGCCTTCTTCATTCTGAAACTAGAATAATTCATAGCTCAACGGTTGTCATAGTTTGCTCAAAACCTGGCTTTCTTATATGGTTAATAGTTGAAAAAGTTTGTGAACTGCTGTTTCAACATAAGATTGAAGACCTGAATTGAACGATAATATTTGGCGCTAGATTCTATGTATATATGCTTGAGAAATTCAGTAAGCTTCCGTAGCCTGTGTATTAC